TTCCCTGGGCATCCGACCCTTCTGGACACAGTAACCCCCTTCCATGGGCATCCGACCCTTCTGGGCACAGTAACCCCCTTCCCTGGGCATCCAACCCTTCTGGGCACAGTACCCCCCTTCCCTGGGCATCTGACCCTTCTCCTGGGCACAGTGCCTCCCCTTCCCTGGGCATCTGACCCTTCTCCTGGGCACAGTGCCTCCCCTTCCCTGGGCATCTGACCCTTCTCCTGGGCACAGTGCCTCCCCTTCCCTGGGCATCCAACCCTTCTCCTGGGCAAAGTATCCCCTCCCTGACTATCTGACCCTTATCCTGGGCAAAGTATCCCCTCCCTGAGCATATGATCCTTCTCCTAGGCCCAGTACCCCTCCCTGACTATCTGACCCTTATCCTGGGCACATAACCCCCTCCCTGGGTATGTGATCCTCCTCCTGGTTTCAGTATTCCATCCCTGGTTATCCGATCCTTCCCCTGAGCACATTACCCCCTCCCTGGGCATCTGATCCTTTTCTTGGGCACAGTACACCCCCCGGGCATCTGACCTTTCTCCTCTTGGTCGCTCCCCGAGTATCTGACCCTACTCCTGGGAACCATACCACATATAAAAAAAAATACCCAATGAAAATATAAACTGACTACAAATCGATGAAAGCCTATTCTACATTACATGGAGGTTCTCTATAGTGAAGATGGTAAAATCCGTAACCTACCCCATCACACAGCGATAGTATCCATCAATCTGACATGTTACAGAACGAGATACTTTCCTTACAGCAAACAAATTTCCGCAGTTATAATGACTAAAGGAGAACATGGGAATATTCCAATCCAGCAAACAGATCCGACAGCCCTTGTGGTGCCAAGAAGAAATCTGTTCTTCCTTCTGCGAGGCACAATTGGCCACAGATGCCCAGAGCGTTGGCTTTGCCTTCCTCGGTGCCGAACGCCGAACTGGATGGACGCGATTTGCTTCTCAATCTCGTCAACAATATAACCAGCAACGTTCAGGATATTATTGGCCGTATGAAAGTCTCTTACATAAGAACAGTCATCAGACAATACAAATTGGAATCAAACCAAGTAAAAAACTTTGCATCATGTAAGAACTGTATGAACCGCCCCGTGAATTGAAGATTTATCGTACATTGTACCCCCGACAGGTCAGGATCCCACCATAAAACATTTCACAAATGGAATACAAAGTGTTCTTCTGTACCATGGAATTAGTACCACTGCCTAGGATGAGCTAAGCCAGGGCTGGACTAATCCCAGGAGTCAGTTAGCCAATGCTCCGCGAGGGTTCCTCCAGTTGTAGTCAATGGAGCTGGCTCCTAAAAAAATAACCTGCTGGCTCCTAAACTGGGCAGATCGGCTCCTGAGCTCCTTATGAATGTGTCCACCCCTGAGCTGAGCACAACCTACCCTGCATTTGTACACCATTAGCTATCAAGTCTGCACCTAGCGGGTCATGTCCTGTTACATCAGCCACCCTCTAGCTGTCCTATAGCCCAATTAAAAGGTCCTCCTTATACTACCACAGAGTCCTAGTATTTAGCTAAGCCAGGGCTGGACTAATCCCAGGAGCCAGGTAGCCAATCCTCCTTGAGGGTTCCTCCAGTTGTAGTCAATGGAGCTGGCTCCTAAAAAAAATAGCCTGCTGGCTCCTGGACTGGGCAGATCGGCTCCTGAGCTCCTCATGAATGTGTCCACCCCTGAGCTGAGCACAACCTGCCCTGCATTTGTACACCATTAGCTATCTAGTCTACACCCAGCGGGTCATGTCCTGTTACATCAGCCACCCTCTAGCTGTCCTATAGCCCAATTAAAAGGTCCCCCTTAAGCTACCACAGAGTCCTAGTATCCATCTAAACTAGAGTCCCTCTTCCTTTGCTCAGAATTTCCCTAAAAATAAATGCATCTTCCCATTTCTAGATGGTTCCGGGCTCTTGTCCTGCTTCCAAACACACAAGCTCCTGCACCAGGCCTACCCTTCTCCTTGGCAAAGGGCCTTGTCCAATCCTAGTATCCAGCTCTTCTCCCAGGCATCACATCGCTTGTCCTCTCATCCTTCTGCTATGCAGAATACATTTCGTGGTGTCTCATTCTACTCTCGGGTGTAGGATACGACCCCCTCCCTATGAAGGACCCTCCATACTTCGGGTGTCCACTCACTTGAGTCCTCTGAACAGGATCCCCGGTCATTGTCTAGGTATCTGCTCTGAGGATGATAATCGCTACCATCCTCATCCTTCTCCTGGTCACAGTAACACCCGGCCCCTAAATCTATCTCTTCTCATGGGAGCAGGCCACAAGCCAAAAGTCTTGGTCTACACTTTGATTTAATCTTCTCACCCATCTGCATGTCACAAGGCCCATCCAAACAGGGCCATTCCTTCTTATAGTAACCATTTCCCATTCCTGGGCATCTAAGTCTTCTCCTACATAGAGTAACCTCTACCGAGGTGTATCATTCTTTTGGGCAGCAACTCTTTCCTCATTGGTTGGACAAGAACACACACACGCCCACATTTCAGGACTGCTCTCCTAAGCACAAAAACCTCCACCCCCTGCCGAGCACCTGGGCACCTCACCACCGATCATATCACCTGGGAATCAACTCTTCTTCTTAACACAATATCCTCACCATGAGGGGCACCTGACCTTTTATTTACGTGCCACACTGCCGACCTTTGCATACAACATGGGCACACTTCTTCCTCCGTGGGCATCTGACCCTCATAGTGAACACAAAAGCTACCTCTGGGAATCTAACCTAGGCACAACACTCCATTCCTGGGCACCTGACTCCACCCTAAATATCTGACCCTTCTCTGGAGAACAGTAACCCCATCCTCCGCTATCTGACACTCATCACCCAAGCACAGGGCTACCTCCCTAGGTACGTGGCTCTCCTCCTGGGTACAAAACCCTTTGCCTGGGTACCTGGCTCTCCTCCTGGGCACCATACGGCCTACATGGGCATGTTGGCCATAAAACTCGCTCCCTAGGTATAATATATCCATCCTAGATATTGTCCCTTCTCTTGTGCACATCGCGCCCCCATTAGGCATCAGACCCGTCTCCTGGGCACTAGAACCCTCTTTGGGCATCAGATCCTTCTCCCGAGTACTATACTCTCTCCCTGAGAATCTGAACATTATTATTGGCACAATAATGACCTAACCCTGGGCATCTGACCTTTGTCCTAAACACAATACCCCCTTCCCGGGTATTTTACCCTGCTCCTTGGATTAACCCACTCCCTTAACATCTGACTCTTCTCCTGGGCACCATACCCCCTCCCTAGGCACATTACCAGGGCACCGTACCCCATCCCTGGGCATCTGATCCTCTCGTGGGCACCGTACCCCACCCCTGGGCATCTGATCCTCTCGTGGGCACCGTACCCCGTCCCTTTGCATCTGACTCTTCTCCTGGGCACCGTACCCCCTCTTTAGGCACATTACCAGGGCACCATACCCCATCCCTGGGCATCTGATCCTTCTACTGGGCATCTGATCCTCTCCTGGGCACTGTACCTCACCCCTGAACATCTGACCGTTCTCAGGCACAATACCCTCTCCCTTGGCATATGACCCATTACCAGGGCACAGCACCCCCTCCCCCTGGGCATTTGCCCCTTCTCAGGGGCACAATACCCTTCTTCCACCTCACTATAAAATATAGAATAAAAGCTCCTCCCCCTCCAGGGCCTACCAACCCCCCCCCCTTCCTTAGCAAAGGCCCTTCCTCGGGTGTCCCGTTCTCCTGGGTACAAATCTGTCTTCAGTCCCTCCCCCCAATGCAAAGACACCTCCCCTATTCGGGTGTACCCTCCAACCCCCCACTGTACACAGACCCCTCCCTTCCCCGGGTGTCTCCCCTCACCCTTCTCCTGGGCGCAGGACAGGACGGCCTCCTCCTTGGGGTTGGTGACCTGGGTGATGATGGACGTGCCGTCCATGGGGGCTCGGCTCTCCGCTCTGCCTGTGGATAGGATTAGCCGGGCGCGAGCTGGCGGCTCCCCCGGGGCTCCGGGCGCTCTGCCTGCCTCCTCAGCATGTAGTCCGGGCGGGCTCGGATCGCTGGAGATCCCCGTCCTCCCCTCACTCCTCTCCCCTCACCTTCCCAACATGGAGGACGGGCCGCGCCACCACATAAACAAGGGGCGGGTCCTGTCAGCCACCCCTACAGCGCCGGACACATCGCAGGCTCCTCCTCCGCGCCCAGCCGCTCCGGCAGCTGCAGGGTTAGCGGGGAGGGGGGGGCGTGAACGGAGGAGTGCGGGAAAGGGCACTCTGTGATTGGCGGGAGCGGACGTGGATGACAGAGGGGGCGGAGATTACTCCGGCTATAAAAGCGACTGCGCAGCTTTCGTACACAGAGCCTGTTTGTCGTGACTGGATCGGTGGAGAGGCCTCAATGGAGGTGACAGGAGGAGCTGAGAGCTGTTTCTTTCTTCTCAAAGTAGCTAAAATGATTTCCTAGAAGTGACCCTGTCATTAGGAAAGTATTGGGCTGTCGTTGTTGCTGCTTTGTTGAAAATGCTGGCCACCTGTCTCTGGTTCCGATGCCATTGTGGCACCACTGTAAATGAGTGTCAGAATTTCTAATTGCTATATCTGTTACAAGTCAGACCTTAAAAGCTCCTTCACACCGCTCAGGTCTATTGCGGTGTGTGTTCACGCATTACCGTCAGTGGTGTATTTTGGTTTTGTGCTGCTCTAGGCACGACTAAACTCGGGCACCCCCCTCAATCTAAAGAATACATCGCAGTCCCCAGCCTGCTTCTGGGACATCCCGCCATCAGATCACATGCTATGTCCAGCCCAGAGCCACCCCGCTGCTTCTCCTGTACATAGCCAGCTGGACCACAACTCACTGGGCCCTCCACCAGGCAGCTCTCTAATTAGACAACCGCTCTTAGGGCCTTGCGGCCACCTAATTTGCCTCAATAGGCAGTCGTCGCTGCCTGATTCTGTGCCATCCAGCCTCGCCCCACTGGCAAGTCTGGCCCTGTCCACGTAATTGGTTTGGGGTGGTGTTTTCTGCTGCCCCCCCCCCCCCTGGAAAGTGCCGCCCTAGGCAAATGCCTAGTTTACCTTGCAGTAGATACACCCCTGATTACCGTACATTGCATAAAGCGCAGCCAAAGTGCGTGGCAAGAGATCTCAAATGAGACCTGGCAGCTCGTGGTAGTGTATTAATGTGCATTGCAACGCAGGTGTGTGGGGTGCCGCTGATTATGAATGCAGCCACAGGGCACCAATGCGCGTTATTGCGACACAAAGGAGGAGCTAGGAAGGAAGGAAGAAAAGGAGGGATGCAGCCCTGACCAGCCCACCTGAGACCTCTTCAGAGTACACCATAGACAGTCTCAGATGGGCTGTGCAGCATCTATGGTGGGCTCTGCAGGGTCACTCTCAGGTGGGTCCTGTGTCCAGCGCGTCACTAAGCCCTGCGTCCAGCGACGCGGGGGGGGCCCCGGCCTAAAGCCGTGTAAGGGGCCCCAAAATTTCTGATGGCTGCCCTGACTATGCCTTTGGAATGCATTAAAGCCAAGGCATTGGTGTGAGAGCCAAGCACGTAGCATTCTCTAAGGTTGGTAATGCAATGGCATCCCAAAATTTCCAATGACGGGATGTTTCAGGTATATGTAAAGCCAAAACAATTTTGACTAGAGCGAGCGGGGGTGACCAACTCAATTTCATTGTGGGCCGCATCAGCATTATGGTTGCCCTCAAAGGGCCAGTTGCAGTCTATGGTAGGTTGTGTGGGCTCTCAGGTGGCTACGTCGAGGCATATGGTGGGTTGTGCAGGCTCTATGGTGGGCTGTGCGGACTCTCAGCTGGCTATGGTGGGCTGTGCGGGGTCTATGGTGCGCTGTGGAGACTCTCAGGTGGGCTGTGCAGAGTCCATTGTGGGCTGTGCAGGCTCTCAGGTGGCTATGTGGGTCTTTGATGGGCTAGATAGGTTCTATGGTGGACTCTCAGGTGGCTGTGCAGGTTCTATGGCAGGCTGTGCAGACTCTCAGGTGGCTATGTGGGTCTTTGGTGGCCTGCGGCAGGTTCTATGGTGGGCTGCGTGGACTCTCAGGCGGCTGTGCAGGTTCTATGGTGGGCTGCATGGACTCTCAGGCGGCTGTGCAGGTTCTATGGTAGGCTGCGTGGACTCTCAGGCGGCTGTGCAGGTTCTATGGTGGGCTGCGTGGACTCTCACGCGGCTGTGCTGACTCTCAGGCGACTGTGCAGGTTCTATGGTGGGCTGTGCGGACTCTCGGGTCGCTGTATGGTCTCACCAGGGGTCCCGGTCTGTCTCAGCGGGTGCGGGCGGCATGGATCCACAGTAAGGAGGAGGAGCAGATTTTTTGCCAGCGCTGTAAATAGGCGTCGCCGTTCACAGGAAGGCTGCCAGGAGAGGAGTACTGAGGATACGACTGCTGGCAGTATGCGCAGTTGAGGAGTGCGGAGGATAAGAAAGCATGCAGCGTATGCAGAAGAGACATTTGAAGTGTATGGTCTCTTCAGCACGGAATGCTAATGGAATGCTGTTGATGTTTTCTTTGATATCGGGCTGCAGACATCTACAGTCATCTTTTAACAATCTTCAGCCAGGAAATGTGAACTGGGAGGCGCTTAAGGACCAGCTCCAAGCAACAAGGGAACACAAATAGTGAGCTACTATGCTTTCAAGTAACCACTGTAACTGCTAAATTCAGAAGGTTTACCAAAAAAGCAAACGTCAAGGAAAAAAAACCCATAAAAAGGTATCTCAATCCAGTTATGTGATCTCCATGGCACCTCTATCAATAGCCCTCACCAGTGGTCTGAAGCTGCTCTCCATCTTATTCACCAGTACAGATGACTGGTCCATTGTACATCCTTCATATGACGCCACTCATACAGGCTTCAGGGCCCTCTGAGGACACTGTGGCCCTTCTGACAGCAAGTGACCACCCACATCACAAGGGAGCACTACAGATTGAACACTCCCACACTGCAAAACAGAAGAAAGAAGACCGGTGAACCGGCACGTTACTTGACCACAGTTTTAGCTAATTGTCACGGTACTCCCCTGGCAGGTGATGGAGGCTTACCCAAGGCGCGGAGTGTCAGTTGGTCTTCACCAGAGCTCCAAATTGTGAAGATTGTGCAGGAACTAGGAATGCACCGATATATATCGGGCGCCAAAACATAACGACCGAAAACGGCACTTTTGGCGTAATCCAGAAAGTCCCATTTTCCTGCCGATACATCGGCGCATCGCTGGTTTCCTTCTTCCCCGCTGGTCGCTGCTCTGTGTCCCAGTGGGGAGAAGAGAAACTGTGACGGCCGAGCGCTGCGTGCGGAGATCGCTGTGAGCGGCCGCTGTCTCTCCTCCCACACCGCTCAGCCTCATATCACAGTCCGGCAGAGCGGTGTGGTGCCGGAGACTTGCTGCGCTGTCACAGGAGGCTGAGCTCTCCTCCCTGCACCGCTTGCTCAGCCTCCTGTGACAGCGTGTCGGAGAGCGAGTACAAGCAGTCGGTGATCGCTGAGTGTTTGTAGATAATTGAGGACATGGTACGGTTACTATATCCTCAATTATGAATGAATGGGAGAGATCTACATCACTTCCTGTTCATTCATGATTGTAGTTATAGTAATCATACTCTGTCCTCATGTTATGAATGATCAGGAACACTCAGTATAAATAGAGGATTCCTGTCCATTGATAACAGGGGCTGCGGAAAAAGAGATCGAGGACTTTGTGTCCTCAATCTCTTTTTCTATTTTATAAAGGGAAATATCAGGGGTCTGTTTAGATCCCTAATATTTCCCCGAAGCCCCTAAAAAAGTAAAGTAAGAAAATAAAAAATATTTAATAAAAAATGAATAAATAATTATAAAAAAATTAGAACGTTTATAAAAAATAAAATCTTTAAAATGTAAAAAATTTTAAATAAAAAAAATGTTTGTGTTCGGCCTGACAATTTTTTATATTTCGGTTTCGTTTCGGTTTTAAAATTTCCATTTCGGTGCACCTCCTAGCAGGAACCCTAGTGGTGCTGCTTTTCATGGCTGCAAAATGGCACCAGGTTATGGCCCTCAGGATTGCCCCACCAAGGGAGGTGACTGGACTAGAAAGGCTATGGTGCAGGGACTGTTTATAGGTCGATAAACAAGAGAAGTCAGGTCCAGGCAGAAACAAAATGTATTTTATTAGTCACACCCCCTCACAGGCTTGCCCACAGTTCATGCAGGGTGCTGTAGTAAATTGGTGGATGGCGGCACCATGTAAGCAGAAGAGTAGTCAGGTCAATCCAGGTTGGCAATGGGCAGGCAATCGATTCAGTATTATAGCTCTCTGGCACTATAGGATAGCTGTCAAAAAGTCTAAAGGTGCCCATACACTGCACGATTCTCGTACGAGAATCGCAGGAAATCCCGCAATCGTACGAGAATCGAGCAGTGTGAATGAAGACGTGCGACCGTTTCTACTGTACGGGCGCACGTCTTTTGTCTAAGGAGCATGCTAGAAAACCAGCCGAGAATCGTACGATTTTTCGGCTGGTTTTTAGCATGATCGTACGGGCCGGTGTGTGCACGCGCACACTGCCCGTTCAGCATTGCGGTCATCGGAAGCCCGCCCATCAGGGGGGCGTGCTTGCGATGATCGCAAGTACGATCTGCCTGTCCAAGATGGGCAGATCGTACGTTTTTTTAAATTACTTTACAACCATCGCAAGACTAAGGTCTTGCGATGGTTGTAAAGTGTATGGCCACCTTTAGGTCTGGGCCACCAGAAGGGAACGGGTTGAAATACCCTCCAGGCTAGTGAGCACGCCCACTAGCTTTGGGCTTGTGTCCGTGGCACCCATTAATGATCATTCAGAATTAATTGACCGGGGCACTTGACCTGCAGCTGACTTGCTTCAAGGGGGTTTTGCATACCCACAGATTTGTATGGGAATGCAAAACCCATTTGCAGTTTACACAAGCCCTTAAAATGTATGCAAAACCCTAATAATAAACTTCTCGTATTTGGTCCTTTTCAGCCCGTTAAATACAACGGTGACAGAGTTTTGTTATATTGATATTATAGCTGCAGGAAAACCCAATGAAGATGCTGGAAATTGCTGTCCTGTGATATCTCAGAGAGCCCTCCTAGTTTTTACATTGGACTACAGAAGAAATAGGCTTTATGTTGTAGAGATC